TTCTCAAAGGTTTTGTTTTTTTTTTTTGCTCAACAACTTTGGTCTCTCCCCCCCCCTTTTTTTTTCCCTTCAACAAAATTTTTTCCCGGTGGTTTTTTTTGGGGGAGGGGGGGCGGTATTTTTGCTTTAGCAATCTGGCAACCCTAGCAGACAGATGTATTTGCACACAACCCCACTTCCCTCGCGCAAACGCACATATACACAAATACAGGGAAGCAACACGAATACTGTATGTTACTAGAATGCTAAGGGACTATATATTTATTACAATACTTTATACTTCCAATGCATTGTTAATTTGAGTCTCACAAAATGCTTTATATACATTAGCAATCTGGCAACCCTAGCAGACAGATGTATTTGCACACAACCCCACTTCCCTCGCGCAAACGCACATATACACAAATACAGGGAAGCAACACGAATACTGTATGTTACTAGAATGCTAAGGGACTATATATTTATTACAATACTTTATACTTCCAATGCATTGTTAATTTGAGTCTCACAAAATGCTTTATATACATAAAAAAAGTTAAATCAGACAGTCTTGTTATTACCCTCATTGTACTGCTTGGGAAATAGGCTCAGACGAGTTAAGGTCCACATTTTCAAAAGCGATCTCTGGCTTTGGATGCCTGATCTCAGCACTTGGACATAGTAGACGCTGGAAAACGTTAGCTCAATGGCAAAGTCAGAGACCCAAGTCTCCAGCTAGGGTTGCCAGGTGTCCGGTATTGACCCGGTATTGACCCGGACAGTCCAGTATTTTCACCTCCTGTCTGGTAAAAAAATTCAGAAGATACCGGACACCTAAAATGTCTGGTATTTTCTGATTTTTTTTTCCCGGCCAGGCAGTGAAAATCCCAGGTGCTTACCAGGTTCTGCAGGGGAGCTGTCTGTCCCAGAGCAGGAAGACAAGATGGCATATGGCTGCCAGCAGCCTGTTAGGGCCAAAAAGCCCCAAAGGCATTTCTTAAAGGGACCATGCTGTTGTTGTTTTTTAACTTATTTATTTATTTATTGCTTAATAACTCTTGGGCCTTTTTTGGGGGGAGGAGGGGTTCCCCCCCTTTTTCCCTCAACAGAATTTTTTTCCTGGTGGGTTTTCTTTTGGGGGGCTGGGTGTTTGGTATTTTTGGTTAAACCATCTGGCAACTCTACCCACAGTATCTGAATGTTTTTGTCATATTTACTTCCATGTCTTTTAGAGGCCCCATGTCCCAGAGGAATAAACCCAAGCGTGGGCTACAAGAACTAATGAATTCTAATCTCAGCTCTACCGCTGATTCCCTGTGTGTAGCCTCCAGCGAGTTTAGTCACCTCCCTCTTTTAGTTTTCCCTTCAGTCACACGAGGATCATAGCCATGCAGAGGTGTTGAGAGGATTAGTTCGTTAAAGGCTGTGCATTGCTGTGGCAATGTACAGCAGGGCGAAGTGTTACTGCTCTGCACATTGCCAGTACAGCTCCCAAGCTGGCCTGCCAGCCCCGTGTCAGTGAAAACAAGAATTAGTGTGAAAAAGTCCCAGCGCTCCTGCAATTTGTGGGATTTACATTTGCAAGTGATAATTACAGTGTCCCCTGCGCCGTCCCACGCTCTGCAAGGCCTCCACCAATGACAGACTCCAAACACCTGTTCTGGGCTCCCGTGGGCTTGTAGGTCCTTGCCCTAAGTTATACACGACTCATTCCTTGGCAGGCAGCCTGTAACCACGCAGGTTGACCACTCCCAACAAGAATTTCTGCATGACAAGGATTAGCTGGAAAACAGGCTGCCGGATGGGGATTATGCTGTGGGAGACCAAATTCTCTGAGAAGGAGGGTCACTTGTGAATGTTTAAAAAAACTCTGGAGGCAGGATTCAGGTCAGTTGTGATGAAATGTTTTGTAAATGGGAGCTCACCACCACTTGGTGATGGTTCTACAGTCAATGTGATTACTAGCAAAACAGCAGCACTTAAAAGGGCAGTTTTACCGTGAGCTGCAACTCTGTACAAGTGGCACGGTTTGGAGCGAGTCAGATCCTGCTCTCCATTACAATGGTGTAAATCTGGAGTAAATCATGGGCTTTAGTGACATTTCCCTGAATTTACACCAGTGCACAAGATGGAATTTAGGCCGAAATGTCCCAATGACTTGAAATTAAAATCACCCACTGAGGGTCAAATTCTGCTCCATGTAAATCAGGTGCAAAGGCACTGGAGGCAGTAGAGTGAAAACTGGTACAAGTGAGATCAGAATCGGGACTTGGTCTTGTTTTCTCATGGCTGGATTGTGGCGGGCTCTGGAGTGAGTGTGCAGGGCATGGTCCACTCTGTGCACATCTTGCACAGAGCTGGGCATAAGTGCAGTCCTAGTGTTGTCCTAAGTAGCGGGACTGCTCCCTGCAAAAGAAGTGCCGGGGAATCGGCGCAATGGTAGGACAGACCAGCAGCAGAGGGGAGTGGATGCTCTCCCCTTCTGACAGCTGCTGCATTGTCCCCCCATGAGCAAGCTCCCTTGAGGCGCAGTGTAATTCTTCACACTAGGGCAGTGCAATTCCGCAGTTGCCCAATGGGGGGGGGGGGG